CACATCACTATCAAAACACACATACTAACACATACATAACAAAATAAACATACACATACACACGCGCGCAAAAACTTGGCAGATTCATATATATCGATTACACACCGCCCCACCAACACACACACACACAGACACACCAAAGCTTGACAGATTTAAATAGATATAATTCCTTTGAGAGCCAATGTGTTATACTTCTGTTAGATCCTCTTTCGCAAACCCCTACACGCTCTATTCAACGCTTCCGTGTGGAGATTTAGACATTACTTGTTTAGCCATATCTAGAAATACCGAGTGACAGAGGCGTAGCGACCCTTCCCGGCGCCCGAGGACAAACTTTCGATTTGCACCCCCCCCCCCCCGCTCAAACTTTCAATTTCTTTTTCCAACCTATTTTGGCACCCCCCTAAGGTCGGCGCATGGGGACATATGTCGCCCCCCCCCCCCCGCTACGCCTCTGCCGAGTGATGTATTACAGCCAAATAGTGTCAAGGAACAACAAGCCCAAATTTATGGCACAAGCGTGAAATCTGGATGTCTCAAGAGACTTAAGGTGGGTGGTCAACACAATCATCAACAAACAGACACATTTGCTTAGTAAAAAAATGTTTAAAGATACATCTTGAGGGTTATTTGGCCGGGCCAAATTTCTCAGCTACGCCTACAGGAGATATGTCAGTAGAATTCCCCCCCCCCCCCCAACAAAAAATGGAATTTATATAGGAAATGTATAAGTAAAGTTTCCATTTCAAACCTGACGGTCTATGGGGCAAGTGAAGTAGAGTTCACTTGTTTCTGTGACCTCGGCATATAAATAGATGGTGTGGTCAGCACTATGCTCAGCCGCCTTTACTTTCCCTAACGTCTCGAACTTGAGACTTACTGGTTAGCAGTCCAGCTCGCTACCGCTAAGCCACTCCGTCTCATAGAAAATGTATAGGGGCCTACTTTTAACAGTGTCCGCCCCATCCCCGGAAATTTTAGTCCGCCCCATCCCCGGAAATTTTAGTCCGCCCCCCCCCCCCACTTCCCGGATATTTTTGTCTCACCCCCCCCCCCCCCCACGGAGAGAGGCAGAGTAGACGGATAGGACACATCCTAAGAAATACAGTTAATACCGTCGCTTAAGAGAGAGATGACAGAGCCTGGGATTTTCTTCATGGTCTGAGTTTTAAGAAATAATCGAAAAATCTGGTATCTGGTTCGAAGTGTCACCTCAACGTTACACCTAACTTACAGGTTGGGAGACGAATGAGAACCGCACTATGCGACACCATCCAAGGGGGTGAAACAACAACAACATCTCGATTTTTCTGGGAAAGTCTGCTTTTCCAATTATATTAATCGCTTATTATAAAGATATATACATTAGTACGCACAAGTTAATACCATGTGGGGTTGGGGTGACATTAGATATATAGTCAAAAATGACGCCACTGGCCCTACGCCACCCTCCACCCCACCCCATTGTGACCCTTACCCAAAACCCCCAACACCAATACCGGTAGTCGAGCAAAAGCTGGATACGACCCCCCCCCCCCCCACCCCCGGCGACAGTAATTGTTGTCAATAACACAATGTCCTCAGCCAGCTCACAGCGCTAATGTGAATTCCTCGCATAGCTAAACCCGAGTGTTTGTTTACGGTACGTCTTGGATAATGTGTACACCTTGACGCCGTGTACACACCAATATGTACACTTGCCACTGTGACCCTACCGTAGACCCAGCCAAATGTGTACACTTGCCACTGTACATCCTGCCACTATGTAGGCCTACACCCTGCCAATATGTACACCCAACCAGTAGCGTAGCGAGGGGGGGGGGGGGGGGGGCGGGGACACACATGTCCCCGGGCGCCGACCTTAGAGGGCGCCAAAATGGGTTGGAAAAATAAATTGAGTTTGAGGGGGGTGCAAATCGAAAGTTTGAGGGGGGGTGCAAATGGAAATCTCGAGGGGGGGGGGGTGCAAATCGAAAGTTTGTCCCCGGGCGCCGGGAAGGGTCACTACGCCTTTGCACCCAACTACTTTGTACACCCTGCCACTATAGACCCAGCCAAATGTGTACACTTACCACTATGTACACCCTGCCACTATGTACACACACATGGTCTTAGTGTCGTGTACACAAGCATGTGTGAGATCACGCTTGTACTACCGTATCAGTCAGCGCTACTACTAGTCGATTAGCCATACACACGAATACAATACGTATTAATAGGCATATTCATTCAGCCATTACACATTCCACCCCACCCCCCACCCCCAAGATTTAACAGGAACTTAAAAAAGCTCTTAAGTATAATAAAAATCTAGAGTCGACATGGATATTTTATGCCAGCGTACTATAATAAAGGCCTAGTTATTTTTTTATATAGTTATGACTATGAGTAATAAATATAGGCATAGTAACGAAAGAAGCTATATTTTATATGGAAAATGCATGCTTTTACTTTTATCAGTGTTTTTGTCATCCCCCCCCCCCCCCCCCAGAGAAACCCAACTGTAATACCTAAACTGCTTGCTTGACCTTGAGTATTTGAATAATTAATAGCCACTAAGAAACTTAACTAATACTCTAACTAGAATCTAGAAATATATATTATAACACTTAGGTTAGGCATTCCGACTTCCGCTGTTTCGATTCGGTATTCAACATCCGGACTTTTCGATGCAGTCTTTATAAAAACTCGCCCTTTTCCGAAGAATGCCGAACCTCACTGTTGGAATCGAGTTTTTAGAAATATTCGATATAGATATTCTAGTGTAGCCGTATTATATGTTTCAATTAGAAAATTACCGCCATTATGACAATCTTTAAGCCGAAATCGATCGCACGATTCTAATGAGTTTATCTCGCGAACATGTCCCGTACGGTGCTGTCACATTTTAAATAAGTTTACGTATTAAACCCTTTATAAGTGTCTTGCCATTAGTTGTAAGTGTCCATTAAATAAACAAATATTATTATAATAACGGTTTTATGGCACTTACTACTTCTGCTTACGAGTTATCATACATGTCAAATCCCCGAGCTAGCGCTTCGGCCTTGACAACGCCATGGCGTCGGTTTAGCACCGCATTACCTATTATCGATAAAATACGCGCACTAATGCCAATGACGTCGTTTTCGAAGTTGGAAAGAATTTAAATTGCGGGTGGCACTGTTAAAACTAGATAAAATACGGTGATCAAGTTATCTATTAAAACCGACAGGCAAGAAGCTTAGGCTTACATTAAATAGTGTTAAGCATTTCACACATACCTACTTACTTAGATTTAAGGCTAATACTAATAGCCTTTAATATACTATTATACTTTATACTATAAATAAGTTATAGGCCTATTTCTTAGTATAACTAATGCTATATACTATATGTATCGATTGATAAAGTAAGTCTGGGCCTATTATTGGTTATGATAAGTAAAGAAGCTTGGCGATAAACTTATTTAATTATTTGTAATAATTATGCTTATGACATTAGTAAATAATTAACAAAAGGTGCAGCAATTGACATGGGGGGGGGGGGTACTAATTAATAAGGCAGTGAATTTAGAATGACATGAAAAAGGCATGATAATTATTATTCATAATAATTTAGGATACAATTTTTACATTTAATAATAAAAAGTAACAAAAAACAAATAACAACAAACAATACGGATTTAAATCACTGCATGTTGCCAATATATATATATTCATATAAGCAGATAGACAGGGAAGCTGTAACTTCTGATTTGGTACAAATTAACACTTAGCTTAATAAACTTTTACAAGAATTTAAGGTTTTTTTATTGATTAGTAATTTAGTTGTACCAAAATATCAATAGGGTCTTATAAAGGCCCTAGTATATTAAAGTAGTTTCCCTTTTGGACCTGTCAATCCATCATCCATAAAGCAGCTGAAGTAGAGTTTATCTGTTTCTTGACCCATGCACATGAAGTGATGGTGTGGTTAGCTCTCTGCCAAGCTATCTTTACTTTCCCTTGGGTCAGGTACTCATCTGAGCTTGGTGGATGCTGCACGCTGCACAGACAGACTCGTCTGAGATCTGAGCTTAAGACTTGCATGTTAGTAGTTGAGTGCTTTAACACACCATCCCTAGTTTTATTTTTCAGCATTCTTCTTATTACATGCTTCAGTATCAATAACCAAAATGTATCCTATCTATTATAGTAACATTCTGGACATACGTCCGTTGCAGTCACTATAATTACTATAAAAGGGTGCAACACCCTTTCATAGGACTTTTTAATTATATGCAGTCATACTTAATATAATTTTTTTCTATATTTCTATTGCCCCCACCCTCTAGCAAAGTTTCAATTTTAATATTAAAAAAAAACATAGACTTTCAGTCTGCATATTGACCTATATAGAACAGCACCCCTCACTTTAATTTGACTTGATTAGTTCTAATTATCCTTCATCAAATTTTGATTTTACTTTCATATTTCTATTGCCCACACTCTCTAGCACTAATGTGCAAAGTTTTATAATTATATCTCGAATAGCAGCAGTGGTATGCAAGCCTAAAGCCAATCACACAATTAAATCCGATGTTACAGTGATATATAACAGGTTTAATACATAACTTTAAAAATTCATATAAAAAAAACTATTAGGCCTAGAATGATAAATTTGGTATTTTTATCAATGGGGTATATTATAGGATTAATCTGTGTACATTTTATCATTCTATGGTAATTAGGAAAAATATCCCAACATTCCTACACTTAGGTAGTGTAACCAAATAGACTAGTTCATACTAGATCTAGATGTACAATATAGAATAGATCTAGGTCTACTATAGATCTACAGTCTAGATCTAGATCTAAATTAAATGTACTAATATAATAGATTAAGATTCTAGATCAGCGTATTTTAAATTAAATAAATTATTTAAAAAATAGTCTAAAACTCAGAGAGCCGTAGCGAGAGAGAGGGAGATAGATCTATATACTAACAAACGAGTATTTTATTTAGATGTGTCAACTCACCTCGTCTAGTTTTCCCTCGTCCTTTATTAAACACGATAGAAAGTAATCTCCAAAACAAGAAGCAGCGTTTGAGAAAAAAAATCCACACAACGTACACGATAAGATTTAAATTCCAACACTAACACACGGACTCTCCTACACGCCGCCAAAACAGCTGTCCACAGCAGCAGACGATAACCAAATACGTCTCCGTTTATTGTTTTGCCCAAAAACCCGCCACCAGTAAACCCTCGCCAAAGTTCGTGCCGAATGCGCGATTCGATGGGACCGTCTCGGGGCATTCCATTTATAGTAACGGGATTGTCCTAGATACACGGATGACACGCCACGGATGTGTTACTGTTAGCTAATCCTCTTTTGGGGATACTCTCTAAAAAAGGGTTTAACTTCGCAATAATATTACTAGTTTTTCTATCACATCCAGAAACATTACTGTAGGGATATTTTATAGACGACAAACAAAAATTGCCTAGTATTTCGATTTTCCGCTCTAACTCGAGTGGTTTTTAAATTTAGTTAAAAATAATAACACATGAATAGTTTGTAAGGGCCAAAAAAATACACATGCTCTTATTCATTGATACATACTAATCAAATTACTGTAACAAACGCAAACTACCATATTTAACCCCATATCTGACCCTAACACTGATTAATCATTAAGCTGCAATACGTTTATGTTGATGTCTAATATGAGGTTTGGGATAGGTGTTAATAGCGGTGATACAATATCAAATAATAAAATTGTTTCCTCGAATTCTTTTTCTTAATTTAGAAAGAATGCAATTGGTTCTCAGTAAAGTATTACACAATTTTTCAAGTAATTTACAATACCCACAGCAGATGTTAAAGGGGTAAAGTGAAAGAGAATAGTAAAATTTTATTTCAATGAATTATTAAAACTCAATTTCCAAATCCCTAACCAAAATGAGTCAAGCATACCCCTGTGAAATTAATAACTAAAATCCTAACAAGTAAATCATTAAAAGCTACCAAACTATTAAAGATAAGTCATTAAATCTCTAATAAACATTCATCCAGCCCAACAACATATCATTCACCAATAACACATACTTAACATTTAATTATCAATATCCAATCTAACCTTTACTAACTCACTTTCTAAACACTCCAACATTCTTTAACAGACTACAGTAAACTAAAGAATCCTCTTTAGACTTAGGTATAAATTAGGCAGATAAAGTTGAGTTCATGTTTCTTGATCTCTGCATATGAAGGGTAGGTATAGTCAACACTTTGCCCAGCCGCTTTTACTTTCCCTAACTTAAGTTAGGTAGCTAACTGGGTGGACCCGGAGACGATTGATTTGAACTCAAAACACTTTTGGGTTAGCAGTCTAAAGCTCTACCTCTAAGCCACACTGTCCCATACTCTACAGTGACATATAAATTCTCCAATTACCAACAAGCAAACAAAAACCTCCCATTTTTCTAATATACTACAGCGACATATAAATTCTCCAATCACCAACAATCAAACAAAAACTTCCCATTTTCCTAGTATTTATATAGTTTATTATGAATGGTTCCTTTAAAAAAAATCACCTGGCTAAAACACAGAAATTATTATAGTACAACAAATAGCTGGAAAGGATAAAAAAAATTAATCACAGAAAAATAATCAACTTGAAAATAAAAACGTTTAGCCTTGGTATAACTAAAATAGAAACTAGAACAACTTAACCTACAAGATCTGAAAAGCTATAATTAAATTAGACCACAAAATAATATGCAAACCAGTATTGAAATTAACTGTAAAATAAAATTTTTAGCTCCCAACTTTATGTCAGCCGTTATGTAGAAATATACAAGCAAAATTTTGAAAGAATAATTTAAGTGTTTTGATTTTAAAAAATTAAGTTTGTTTTAATTTTTTTTTTAAACTTGTCTCATAGGTGCAATTGTTAAATATTTTTACTCTATTGTGTCACTTCTAATAAAAAATAAAGATTATGTGACAAAAATAGTGCATTATGACATGTGTATCAAATGTGACACATTAATGCTTAGCGTCACGCAGAAGAAAATTTTTTTTTTATATTCTGATTAGTGGTCACAAAGAAATATTACATTTTGTATACAAATATCCATTATTATATATCTGTTTTTGTGGATGGTAGGATTAGAAAACTATTCACTTTTCCCATCTTAGCTGTGAGTTTCTCTAGAATCTAGGTATACAACTACTGTATATTGTAATCTGTTCTTTATTTCTATTTTACAAAATGTCACAGATCTACTTCTTTAAATCTTTAAACAAAATAGAAATATTGAAGATGCAAAGATGAAACTTGAAATTTTAAACATAATGAAAAAAAATAATGGAATAATGAAACTGCATTTTAAAAAATGCTATTATGAGATAAATATAACAACACATGAAAGCAATCCTAGCAACTGAGGCAGACAACAGTGGCAAATTAATATACAACATATATATATATAAAACATGTATAGAGGAATGGAGAGATGAACAAAATATACATCAGAATAAAACTTGGTTCACATTAATTCAAATAGCAGTTGTTTAAAAAGTTTGCTTATTTGCTTCATGTTAGTTGTCTGAGAAACAAAACAAAGCCTGGATATAATATAAATTTAATATTGCACATCATCAATTCCATTCATTCGAATTATGCATCTTGACAGTGAAATAATCAAAGTACCTGTATCTAAAGGCACCAGTTGAAAATATCAGGATTCTGAACAAGGACGCTATAATTACAATGTAAATGATCCTACTGTTTTGAGTTGGGGCTGCTATTGTAGCCAATGGGTTGTAGGATTCAGCTAGATTTAAACAAGTGGAATGGTATACAATTAGAGAATCATTGAGCCAACAGTAGGGCTGAAATCAAAGTATGGGAATAGTTATGACTTAATTAACCAATTACAACACCATGGCTGCTTATTTTTTTCCTGATTAATAGATGTAATTATGTTCCTGTGATTGTTTCTAAATAAGGGAAATAGATATCTTGAAAACTTAATGATCTGTCATATTCAATCTAGAATTAAAACAAGTAATTTTAAAAAAATTAATATTTTTATTGACACTTTTTTACTCCATTAAATTTAAATTTAGTTTTAAAATTCACATTAAAATTTTGTAAGAGTAATGACAACTGGTTGATTTACAATTTACTATGCAGCTTTTGTTTCAAATTACATATTTATTTTGGTATTTGCCAGTTTGCAGATCACTGCTAAAAATATCGTACCTCACATATTCCAAAAACAAATTGTGCGCTGGTTAAAATGTATGTCCTATCTAGGTGTGTTTAACATATTTGTGGACATTCACCATAATAGTGTTCTTATAAAGAAAAAGAAAAGACTCATTTTGTATCTGATTCATCCTAAAAACATCCACATACTAGAATCTAACTATGTCGTACATTTATGATAAGTTATTACTAGACTAATTTTAGCTACGTCAAAACCCATATGAAGAAAATAATTTTTTGAATTTGTCCTATACAAATTATGTTTTAAATTAAAAATACGTAATGTTTCACGCATGACACTCAGCAGTAAATTTCAAAGTACAAAAAAGAATTCATCAATATATACAACACTGCCATGCTTTATAAGCTTTGTTAGTTGCAACATAAGCCAGCCATATAAATTGTATATACGTTAAGGTTTTAGTATCATCCAAATTAATATATTTAGGTGTTAACTAATTAATTACAATAATTAATTGATGAAAACTTGAAATCTGGATCGAAGAGTAGATTGAGCTACTCCGTATAAAGTTTTTAGTTATGGCGTAGAATGTGTTTTGACACATACATTTTTTTAGCACAATGTAAAATATAAATGAAGAGTAAATATTTTTTTAGGGAGCCAGTGATGAAAGTTCTTAATGTATCAGTATTTTCTGTAATAAGAAAAACGTTAGATTTCCATTACAATATGTACATGAAAACCTTCATGTAAAAATGTCCTTGTTGGCGGCAACTGTGCAAATTTGAACTTAGATATATAGTTTCACAACCAAGTTGTTAAAAAAAAGTTCTCATGAGCTTGGTAAATACTACTCAGATGAACCAAGCGTGTAGCTAATATAAAAGGCACCCCCTCTACATAGTAAGACTAAGAGTGACTTATTGAAATACAAGAATACAGGTGTTTTGTAAACAAAACAGGTGAAAGTAATATTTCTTATGGAAAAAAAAATTACACACAATGTGTTACCAGTCTAGTAGAAATGCATGCTTTACTCAGTGGTCTAGTGTGTGCTCTGTGTTTTATTGTGTTTATTAAATAACAACACACCAATGAAGCATCAATATAAAAAAAATAAACCTTGAATAGTTGGAGTGTTAATTTCTTTTTAAATACCAACCTTGAATAGTATATTTTTAAAAAAAAAGGGGTTTCCTAATTTAACTTTTAACAAGAAAAGAGAAGATGAATATAAATCTAGGCACTTTATTGCTAAGCCAGAGGGAATAATAGTTCATTTAGTTCAGAGATTGTAAAGGTTTTACTTTATTAATTTTCTCAGGTGCTACTGTAGAGAATAAAAACCTATTATTTTAACAGAGACATGAAAAAAAAAACTTCTGCCGGCAAGATGTCGGATTTGAAAAAGACACAGATTTTAACATCAGATATTTAAATATTTGAAAACAGAAACAGGAAGGGATTACACTGGAAGACCTATACAAACAGCTTTACAAACTGAAGATCATTTTTTTTTCAAAAAGGGCATAATTCACTTGCTACCCACTTAGTAAAAATAACACATATCTAACTTGGCCATCATGTGCAGAAAGATCTAATTTCTTCTTCTTAGATAAAAATCATCAAGTTTCTTTAAATAATTGTAAAATAATTGGTTTTTTTTAATCACTTTACTTGCAACAAGCATTAACAGAGCTTAATAAATCAATTTTACAAAAAAGCTCTCCCATAGGTAAACTTATCTAGCCGATAGGTTATAGTTTCACTTGCCATCAAACACAACAATAGTGCTTTAAAAATAATTCATTTTTTATAAACGACACCCCTTAGACTCTGCTTATTGAAATTAATAACTACAAATTTTTGTTTAAAAACATATAAAAAACCCTTACTGACAACATTTATACCATTACATTGTTTTTACAACTTACCATCACCACCACACAAGAATTAATTAAAAATAACCAAACCTTGTAACGGTTTGTAATCTCTAAGTATCAATATACAAGGAAATATGTTAACTTTTTTAAAAAAATGAAAATGTTTAATTTACAATTACAAATATTCAATGGCTTTAAAAAAAATAAATAGCTTATTGACAATATGCAATGTTTTTTACTACTTTATGCTAGAAATTAAAAAAAAAAAAAAAAAAACAACTTAGAGATACAATGAGCTTATCACAATGGAAATTTAAGCTAAATCTATCATCTCAATATCTCACAGAAAATCTGAACTAAAACCCAAAGTAAATATAAATGAACAACCAGAAATAAATTAAAAAGAAGAGAGTAAATTATTCAAGAATTAATTGACAGGAGAAAAAAAAAGTAATATATTTACACATCCGTGTTTAGCCACCAAATAGTTAAATATTTAGCCACAACCTAGTCCCCTTAAATTAATTTTTTACAAAACTTTGGCAATGCCTTTGAACAATACTTACAATAAAATAAAGCACTGACAATTTTCTATTGGATCTCTTAACACACAATTAGAAGATAACAGCTATGGAAACTTATCTAAATGGGATTAGCAAACAAACAGGTTTCTAAATAAACTTCAAATTTCCAAAAATTTATACACATTTTTTTTTTTCACTTATTGACCTGTTTTGATATATCCTTGGATGTGAACAGTATGAAATTAATGGAATAAATTTGTGAGGAGCACACTGCCTTGTCCATACTTTTCAAATGTAATTTTAATATAAATAAAATTTAAACAAATCAATATTTGAAATTGATATATGAACTTAAATCTCTGCTAAATTGTAAAATATTAGTTTGAGAAAAATAATTAGTTTGAGTTTATTGCCCTGTAGTAAATTTTCATAGCTGCTAATTTCCAAGTGACGAGCTGTATCAAATATGTTATTGGTCAACAAATATTGCTTTTAGCTCACACCAAAATTAGGAATGTTGCTTCTTTATCTGGTGCTGTAATACTTTTAATATATAATACAAAAACTAACTTAATTAAAAGTTAATTATAAAGTGGTTATGAACTTTTCATACTGAAACCAAGCACTTAAATAAGACAAACATTTATTTTTTTTACCCTCATAATATGTAGCTGTGGTTAAAATAAAGAGCCCCAAACTTATTACATATAAAATATTTATGATTAAATGAGATGAAAAAGGGTTCTATTAAAAAAAATGACTTGTATTTACATCAGAAATTTGAGTGATTTTTTTGTTTTTCTTTTGCTTTAATTTATTACTAAATTCCTTAATAAACTCACAGAAAAAAACTGTGAGCAATCAAATGTCAGCATACAAAAAAGAGTTTCCTTTATACAAGTCCCCTGTCTAAGATTCAATCCATGAAGGTTTTTCTGCGTTTGGTCTCTTTAACTGTATATTAAACTGCTTAAGCGTGGCCTCCAAAGCTGATGCATTGCCACTGAAGTATGCTGATATTGCATTGTGGAATAGTAGGAGCTGTTTGTGCATTACTTTTATCTACAAGGGAGAAAAAAATTAGATGTGTTGAAAATTACGGGATCAAACATAAAAAATATAACATCATGCTCTAAAAAATCCATCATGTGTGCCTTCATTCAAAATGTCATTCAGCATTAGAAAATAAAACTTTTTTTTTACATTTGTCATAGTTATATTACAAGGCCATGAGAACAGAAGCAAATAATACAAAAATACTTTGTATTGTTAAGTTTTAATAGCATTATAAGGTCTATTAAATACTATCTAGCAGGGTAAGCACCTGACATTCCTGTTTTACATTATGAAAAACTTCGAATAGATACTCCTAAGGTTAAGAGAAACCATGAGGCACTCTTACAAAACTAAAATTTTCTGTTTTACATTTATTTTTAACACTATCTCTGATCTATATTCTGACTGGAACTGAGGCATTACACAACTGGATGTTGTTCATTAAAAGAATCACTCCTCAAGCTGCCATGTGTACACAGTATAAAAACAAAAGTTCAGCAACAATTTGTCTACAGACATTTGGTCTACATAGTGTCAAGTTACGGTGTTTAGATTACCATACTATATCTTTTTTATTAACACCAACCATGCATTCTCTAGAGAGATAGACTAGGTTCCAGATCAAATGCCTAAGGAATCCAAATGTCTTTAAATTGTCATAGCCAAACTTTGTGATACCAAAAACAAAAACAATATACCAGAACTGGACCAGAGTAACCTGTTGTACTTACTCTGTTCTCGTCAAGAAACCGTAGCTTAATCTGTACATCACTTCTCAGCCTGTCAAACTTTATCTTGTGCTCTTCAAACTTCCTTTTGGCATCCTGCATTTTAACTTGGGTAGCTGCCTCTCTTGGTCCCGACTCAATACTTTCAAAATCTGTTCTGTAGGCATCATACTCGAGCCTTCAAGAGAGAAATTAATAATTAGGAGAAAACATTATTCAACACCAAGGTAAAAAAAAAACAACCAAAAATCAGAGAATTAAAAAAATTAATAGACTTGACATTAACTTATCGTTTTTTTTTTCATAAATTTTAATATTTAACTAGTAAAATAAATAATTCGTCACATTTGTCCTAAGATGCTAATGGTAAAAATGTTCAATAGTTGTGAAATTGTTAGAAGTACAGTACAAAGTTGAATTTTGGTTATTTTTCTGTTTGTATCACTGTTCAGGTTATTATGTAGCAATGTTAGCACACAAAATAACACCATATTCCTTGGTGTTTTTTTTTTTTAATGTAACAAATTGTAACAATGCAGTGTCTGTTACCTGACATAGTAATGGCACTCACCTAGCTGTTTCATAGTTTTTAACAGTTAACAACGTGTCCTCCATTGTTTTATGACACAATGTATTGACAGATGAGATAAAGAAATTTAATGCACCTGTAAGAAAATTGTACATAGGTTCATCACACAGTTACTACTAGTCTACTTTCTGTTTTGTTACTCACAATACTTCTTTAAAGTTCACTGAATATTAAACCAGCAATTAAATTAGCTTTGTAGTATTTTTAAGTAAAAAAGATCAGCCCATTTTTGCAAATAAAATATACCTAATATTATACATTTGTGAGTAAAGTATTAAAATTATTTTCAGCCTGATATTAATTTACAAAAATTCTGAAATAGCAATAAAAAAAGTAGCTGTGGGAAATGGGTTGACATAGCTGATACATAAAATTACAGGAATCTGTAGGACTTCCACCCAGCTCTAATGGGTGCACGCCTTAGTGGTTGAAAATAAAAGCTGCTGGGCATAGTGCTGACCATGTATTCCATTTGGGTCTCAAAAGGTTTACTTAACTTTTACTAACACAAAAATGTAAATAGATTCTACTAAATTTATGAATTTCAGATTCCCATAAAGAATGTTTTAGAAGAGTTGCAACAGTTAATTCTGTTTACCTAAAAGTATTTCACCATTCTTGACCAAGGTCCTCTGTGTTTCACAGTTGTAGATGAACTCCTCCTGCAGTTCTGGTGACTTCTGAGCCAGCTCTGAGAATCCCTCCCCCAGGGCCTTCTGTGTCTGGACAACATTGTAGAAGTGGGACGACATGGCTCTGGCCAGCCGAAGGATGTGTGCATATTTTCTCTGCGTGTCCCGCAGGGCCTCTATACTCGTCTCCATCTCCAGGTCCACAGTCCTGGAGCCTTTACCAAATCTCTCAGAGATAAACTGCTTGGTGGTTTTGAAAGTGTTTACACTCCATTCTCTGATGGTCTCTATTTTACTCTGGGCAGTCAGGCTGACAGACTTTGGTATGAAGTCACCGTTGGGGCTGTTGCCTGTGCTGTGGCTGCCTGAACCACCAGAATTAGTTAAGGGCACATTGCTGGTTGCTAGAGATAGGAAATATTATTAGTTAATTGAAAATCATATTAAAATGTAGGTTAAAAAGTAAAATCGTTAATTTACTTTAAATCAAATATAATTATTTATAGGAGATGATTTATTACTAATTTTTATATACACAAGATTGACTATTTTTAAATCAATTTAAACTGAATTAAGTATTAAGATAGTACAATTACTTTAAATAAAAGTTAATAATTTTATTTCATGGTTTATAAAAGTCTAGAATCCTAAAACGTTCTAAACATTAAAATCCATTCTCACCTGAAGTACAGTAAATATTAGAACTTATCAGATTAATAATTAATTGTACATAATTTTTGAACAACAGTTTGTTGTATAAAAATATCATAAAACCTAATATAAAACTAAAGTAACTTAGTCTTTCAGGACTAGAGATAATTCATACTGTGCGGTCATATGTATACAAAAGCCTTTCATCATATGACATATTAGAGAATTAAAGGTTAATATTTCTATTTTACTGTAAATTCAAAAAATCTTTAAATAACATATTTTGAAGATCGATGCAGGGAAGAAATTTAGAAACAGGCTCAGGATTGGATGCAGGACACAAGGATTTTAAAGTGCATATGTTAAAAATTCAGGCTTAAGTAGCAGTGAAAGGTTATTATAATAATAAAAGGTAAAAAAAAGTATTTAACAGAACAAAGTTAACTCTAATTGAACCAATTATTAAGAAAAATCCTCCATGTGTTGGAGAAAGTAAAAAAAAAAACAATTACCTTGTTAAAATTACAACTAAAAAGAATATGATCAAAAATATTTGCTTGATCAAAAATATGTAATTTGTAATACTTGAATTATTTTGATCTACAACCTGTATTTATTATTATAATTGCTGCTTTACAAATAACTAATTCAATTCATAAGCATATCTTTTAATTTATCACTTTTTAAAAATTTGCAAAGTATTTTTTTAGTAGAAGTGTTATTTGTTATGAAATTTTTCTAGAAGTTTGGATTATGTTAAGGTAAAAAATACTATTCTCTATTGTTTGTTAATGTTTGCTTATAAACATGACAAACAGCATCTGTTTAACTAAGGCTGAATATTTATTATTACAGGTCCCTATCAGGCAGCCCACAGAATAATCAAGTTTCTTTTGTTTTAGATGGAAGCTATAAAAAATGTAAAAAAAAATCTATACAATAAAGAGTTATTCCAAGTTATTCACACAAATTAAAAGCAATACAGTCCATGGCTCACAGATTTATAGAACTTACTAAACATTTGAGAATCTGTGAATGTCCAGAGTTAAAAAAAAACTATTGAAAGAAATTTTTAGAAAATTTCAATTAATTTTATCTTTATTCTTGGGTAATAGCTCATACCCTGAAATCCATAGCTTGTCAACAGTGACCAAGCATATCAATATTACTAAATGTAGTTTATTAGCCTTAGACTAAAAACTCTACAGATGAATAACATGACTTCCAGATCACCAACAGTAAAAAAAAAATATTTATGTAAATGAATTTAAGAAATGCTTCTTCTTTTAGAAGTCTAAATGAACCATGGACTGCATTACCAAAGCAAAAGAGAAAACACACCAGGGGGAACAGTATATGAGCGTGTTAATCTAGGCCCAGCAGATCCAGATCCATAAATACCCCCAGGTCCACTTGACGAGAGGGTCCCAGGAGAACTCGTCCCAGCTGAGAAGGGGCCCACTTTTTCTGCAAACGTGGCAGACACAGAGTTAGGCGTGCCACCTTGGACGTTAGATGTGACCTCATTCAAGCTGGGCCCGTCGTCTAGCATCTCTTGCAGATCTCTCTCAAAATTGTCATCATCAGGCGGGATTGGGGATGTTCTGACGTCTGTCATGATGTGAGATCTAAAAAAAAAAGAAATACATATTATATACAAGTGAATATAATTGGTTGAGTCTACAACTAAAAGCTTTTATTTTTAGTTTTAGTTACTGCTGTGTTTGTTTAGCCTTGTTTCATTTTGCGAGCAGAAAAGATTCACAATAATAGTTTAATTATTTGCTACAGGACTTGTAAAATGATAGCACATATTCAAATCAAGTACTTTCTCTTAGTTCTGTACTCTACCCTAACCACAACTCAGACTGACTGATCCGATGCCCAAAACTAACATGGTAAAAGCAGAAGAAATAGAAAAAAAATGATTATATAGAAATATAGCTTATGGTTCCTACTGGTTTAGATTAGGTTAAAATAAAAATCTGCATACACTACTATGTTTGGCTTAAATTATATAAATATTCTTTTACATATGCAATATGATATTGAATGTGACAACCTGGTGTTGAAAGTGAGCTAATAAATTCAGATAAAACATATTAAAATGATATGTTCTAGAAAAACTAGCTGCTAGATCTTTACTGTAGAGTGTCTGGTCATAAACCTCCTGGACACCCCCCCCCCCCCACATGACATAAACCTCCATGGACAATAACCATCCTATCAAGGTTTATATAAGGAGGAAATACTAATGTTAATGAGAACAAAATAATAATTGCTTTAACAAATTATCTGAAATTTTTCTCCAAAGGGCATCACAAATTGTAGACTATTTTGATGACTACTGGCACAGAACTTTCCAGCCAAATATTTGGAAATTTATTGAATTTGTAAAAAACAAAAGGATGTGTATCTAATCATCAATTTTCATTTGTATTTCCTTATATAAAACTCAATTGGGGGATTGTGTCCAGAGGTATTATGTAGCAGGGGGAGGGGAGTTGTCGAGGGGTTTATGACCAGGAGTCAGTAGTAATAGTGGCCAGAAAATATCTAGATCTAGAGTAAAGTTCCACCTGTGGTCACACATAGCGAAAAATTCCGAACTCCCGATTTTCATCGGGCGCTATTTTATAACCGTTTCACACAGAAACAAACCAAAAGTACTTTATTACTCCACTGCCATTCTACTCTAATATGCATGAGTTATTTTGTATTCATACGCATAGTATTTGAGATATTCATATTTTAGTGACGAACCTCCTTGTGATCTATTTTTCCCCCTTTTTTTTTTTGCCTGTGGTCACCTGTCCCTGCTTGTGATCACTAGCGTATTTTTACATTTTGATCCAATTTTAATAATTGAAATAAACATTTTACTCATTTAAACATGTTGATGATTATATAATTAATTAATAGATTTGCAAAACCAATAATAACACGTTAATTAAATTTATTAACTACAAATTACGGATGACCCAGTGATGACTCAAGGGACGCAACCATAATAATCATATCAAAGGGACGTAACAATCACTAACAAGACAAAACGTAACATTTGCTTCGATTGGATTGTATGTAGAGACACAAACTAGATTTAGAAGAAGTAGATGATTGAAATAATTTAAAGCAACAGAAAAAATTAGAAATTATACAGGTTCTAGACTTAGCTTGAAATATAGTGCATCTAGATCTAGGCTAGTCTAGCTCAAGTCGTTGGTGACCACAGCGAGGGTAAAACACAAAAATCGTTACCCCAGCTGTGGTCACCCCCATTTCACCACTAAGATTCTTTTAATAGCCTTAACTACAGTATTTTCAGTGTCCCGCACTTAAATAGAAGCTATTTATAGTTAACCTAGTTATAAAAAGCTTTGATTGGTTGGTTTTATATATCTCATCCGGGACCTAGTGCTTTTCATAGGGGGAACTAGAATCGCCTACGACGTCATACCTCGAAACTTGAAAATTTAAAAACTCGTCTTCCAGAAGGAGGGAAACAAAAGAATTTGACCTGGATATATTTAGAAATGGACATGTTTACAGCAGATATTGGTAGTTTCGTATAAAACATCCAAACAAATATTATATGAAGCCATAAACAGGAATGTGACCACACCGTGGTTTTGACCACACGAGGAACTTTACTCTAGATCTAGCCTTGCCGGTAGCCCTGTCCTTTTATTAAAATTTTGATGTAGGCACCTAATACTTATAAAAAGTTATAATACTAGTAATAGTTTTTAAACGTACTACCACTGTGTCTACAGTACACTGAGCACTAGCTAGATTAGATCTCTAGTACTAATGTCTCTAACAGCTAGTTCTAGATCTATATCCTAGTTGCACTTAATGACATAACAGATGAAGTTGACTTAACTCTGCACCATCTCATGAGATTTTTTCTCAGTCAAAGTAACAAACACCACAGGGAGTTTGGTTCAGCTAGGGATTTAAAAACGACCCTTCTAAATATTTTCCCTCTATAAATGATTAAATAGTAGTTCTAGACTATTCTGTGGAAATTTTACTTGTTATCTTTGTTTCTATTTTTAGAGGGGGATAGGATACTTTAACTTTTTAATGTGGAAACATTATCGAGAATAGGTGGTTCGAATTCACGGAAGCCGCAAAATGTTTTTGGAGAAAAGTTATCTGCAAAGAGAGGTTTAAGTTATCGTAAGTGTATTTGAACACAGCATTTGTAAACCTCTAATTTGTGTTAAATCTAAAAATAGACGATAATTAGTAAATAATAAGTCCAATATACAAATATAAAGATATTTTGTTTACCAATTATCAGTCGGTATCTATCGACGTGGAGATGACGTCATAACATCAAAATAATGGAAATGTTGGATTGGGTAGACACTGATTGATATGAGAAGGCTTTGATTACTACATTTTAGCACACCGTCATCATAGATCAATCACTTTTAACTTTGCTTTTTACATTGTGATTAGGGGGTTAGGCTATATAAACACACACGTGTATGATTAAGACTACCCAATGTATAGGCCTTATATATAGGCCTAGTGTTTTTTGCCAATATTATAGAATCTTTAGCCTACTAGGCAAAATAGTTATTGTCTTTAAAATAGTTAAGCCTACATTGATTATAGCCTTCAGTTACGTAGATCTATATAAAATATATAAGCCTATAGATCTACTAAATATATTTATTTCAAAACAAAACTACAATGACGTTCTAAATTCTTGTTAATCTTCTGCTAGAGACACTTAATACATAATTTAATGATCAAAATATATGCACATTATTATATTTAGGCCCTAGATCTAGATCTCTATGTCCGTATTTAAATTATTATAAAACTAAGCTGTAAGTGTATTTTAGACCTTCTGTAAACTTTACAGTTAGTCTAGATGCAATCACGAAGATCTACCTTTAAAAATATTTTAGTCTAACATAATAGGCTAATGTTTACTCATTTCCAGTCCAATATTATTTTCCACCTTGACCTGTGTTGTGTACTTTCAATATTCGGCAAGTGCGTTGAACACATGTAGAATCACTAGGTACACTAGGTAGGCCTACAACACTCTACCAAACAGTGTGACACAAGATTCTATTGCTGAAATAGGGGACTCCAGTGTGTAATGTATAAACCAACATTACATCGATTTCAAGCGAATATAGATCTAGTAGTTCAATAGAATAAGAGTCAGATCCGCTACATTTACATCAATCAATTCAATCATTGTTCATTTGTAACTGTAACTTGTAGATCTAACTTGTTTGTTTTAATCATTAAAGATTCATTATGATAAAAAAATGTAACTGAGTAACCTCAGTAAACTCAGAAGCTGTCAGTAGATTCTAAGTTTCTAACTGAAGCTAAAATAATTTAGATCTATTAATTAAATAATTGGTAATATATCGTTTTAGGCTTTAGGTATGTTAAATCGGCCGAGACTAGTAATGTAATGTCACCAATGTGAAAAAAGGTGCCGAGTCATTTAAATTTTAGTAGATTCTAGATCTAGGCCTAATCTAGTAATCTAATAAGATTATTTCATATATTAAAGATAATATTAAAGAGGATTTAGGCCTATGTATGTTTTGAAAGTTACAAAAATATTATCAAAGTTTCATTAAAGTACCTGTTTTTAAAGTATTAAACAACTGTATTAAAACTTTTCAGTAAAAAATAAAAACTGGCAATGTTTTCATCAGATGCAACCAAGCTCATTTACTTTAGCAGCCATCTTAAGTTTTTTGTTTTTGTAAAATTATTACAGTTAGAGATTCAGGGGAAACCACTCTTACTAACATATGGCGGCTGTTTATATACCAAATCTTGCTAGCAAAACTTCTGTTTAAAGTTAATTTCTGGCCTATATTGATATATTTAGCCATTTATTTTGGTTTATTATTCAGTTATCTCTAATATTTGACACAAATATATCACAACTTACTTCTATTAAAGCATTAACAATGAGGCAACTTTTCCGCACACTACTAGCGTCGGCCGATTTATCATTTTATGCACCTAAAACGATAGATTACCATTAAATTTATTGTAGGCCTATAAAAAATACTATAAATTTATAAATATTAAAAAAATGGGATTAAGAGAAGGTATCAATTTCTTCAATTAGGCCTATCAATACTTAAATTGTGTTAGTACTAAATACTACTATTAGGGCTGTTTAGGCCTAGATCTAGGTATATTAAATAATAATTATTTTATGTTTTTCAGCTTTTTTCATGACTGCTCAGATAAACTTAATAAACTAAAAATATGTCTAATACATTAACAAACGAAGCACACCAAAGAAGTGTAAGTAGTCTAAGTAAATATCAACATATATTGTGACTAAATAGTTATTTTAAATATTAGATTTAAAAAATTTGCTAAAATTGTTAAAACTTTTTAGTATATTTTTTACATGGGACAGTGTGGCCTAGCGTTAGAGCGCTAAACTGCCAATCTGAAAATTTCTTGCGTGAATCCTGGTTCAAATCAGTAGAACATCCCTGTCCACTCAGCACTGATAGTGCAGGGCATAGTGCTGACCACAGTATCCCTTCATATGCCGAGATCATAGACATAGGTGAACTCTACTTCATTTGCCCTTAGGTCTGTCAGGTTCAATAAGGAAACTTTACTAATTACTTTATATTTCTTATTGAAACATGAAAACTTTTTATTTCAGTTGAAAGATTTCCTCACATTGTACAATACAATAACAGAGTATTGTTTCAACAAATGTGTCTCGAACTTCAATGAGCGTAGTGCTTCTGGATCAGAGGTGGGTCTAGATGGTGCTACATTCTCATCATTTGGTGGGGTAGTTTCAGTGTAGTTCTTTAATTATAATTATATTTTTTATAAATTGTAACAATTTTTAAATTATTAATACCTGTGTGAGTGTTTAGATGTGTATATAATTATTTGAATTTTACTTTTCTTTTCTTTTCAAATTATTTTGTATAGTTATTTGCATATTATATTTATTAATGCCTCTGTATGTATGTATATAACTATATGCACATAACTATTTTTGTTTTTTTCTTATGTGTTTTTTTTTAATATTTTAGACAACATGTGTGGATGTCTGCACCGACAGTTACGTACAATACAACCAAAGGTTCATGTTCAACTTTGTCGACCATCAAGAAAGGCGCAAGAGGGATTTAGAAAGTGCTGCCATCGAGGCTGCACAGAAGGAGGCAGAAGCTGCCGCATCAGGCACAGCAACGCTGCCAGATGCCCAAACCTTGGAGCTCAGCCAGGAGGGCGCGTTACAACAAGCTGCGCAACTCCTGGAGTCTATGAGTTCTAGCAGTGGTGCTGCTGGCTCCAGTGTTGATGGTGCTGGCTCCAGTGTTGATCAAGGTGTGTTTAATAACCCTACACAGTCATCGTTAACACCATCCGACAGCACACCTGTATGACCATACCTGTGTTTGGTAGACATTAGAAATTGATTGCTAGAATGTGCTGTACTAGTTATAATATGTCTGTATCATTTGTTATGACCATACCTGTGTTTGGTGACATTAGAAATCGATTGCTAGAATGTGCTGCGCTAGTTATATCTGTATCATTCGTTTTTTTAAGCATCCCATTTATCAAGAAAACCGCATGTGTAATGAGTGACCTGCAATGTCAGGTTTTGTACTGAAGTTGTAAATATTACAAAAAACAATTTATAAAACATGTAAATGTTTTGTTATTGACTTGGTTTTACTATCCCATGTGTTGTGTTGGCACATCATCTGCCTTTTAGTCTGGGTGGGTGAAATCTTTTTTAATGAATAATTGTTGAGGCAACAAAAAATTGAGTTGTTCATGTAAACTTACATAAAAGCTGATTTTATTTTTAAAATGAATAGTCTCCCTTTTTAAAAATTTGTTATAAAGTAGATCTTGTTGTCTCATTTTTTTTAAGTATTAAATATTCATTTCAGATTTAATTAATAAAAAAATTATGTGGATTTTTAAAAGACTACTTTTGTGGTTTAATTGCTGTTTCACTACAATTTATAAGTCTTTGATATAACAAATTTTTGCTCATGAAAGATTAAAATATGAACAATAATGCTTTTTTTTAAAAATGTTTTATAAACAAGTCTTGAATTAGTGTTCTATTCATTAGCTATTTCTATTCTCTAATGGAGTTTCTCAGTTTGAATTATAATTTTTTTTTCCAAAAATTAAATTGTGTAATTCATGTGGCAGTAGTTTTCAGCAGGAGATTACAACAGTAGTTGTAAATGATTATGTATGTCACTTGAACAGAACCATATGCGAGTACTTGAAATTTTGTATTTATGTCAAGGTCTATTTATAGGGCTGTGTTGATGTATGCCTTTGAGTAGTAAATTGCTAAATGTAGCAATCGTGTTATGAATGTTATGGCATTATCATAGAAGAATTTTATTTAATAAATGTAAAGGTCTGTACATAGATGTTTTGATAAATGTCACTGATCAGTATACATAAATGTCACTGATCAGTATACATAAATGTCACTGATCAGTATACATAAATGTCACTGATCAGTATACATAAATGTCACTGATCAGTATACATAAATGTCACTGATCAGTATACATAAATGCCACTGATCAGTATACATAAATGTCACTGATCAGTATACATAAATGCCACTGATCAGTATACATAAATGTCACTGATCAGTATACATAAATGTCACTGATCAGTATACATAAATGCCACTGATCAGTATACCTAAATAAACAGGTGACCTGCAATATCCTGTTGTTTTTAATTTGTCAGTGTCATAACTCCTGATATGTTTACATTTTTTCAGTGTTATATCTTGGCTGGTGTAGTGACTATTTTATAGCCAGCAAGTATAGCTTTGAATCTTGCTAGTATTGATGATCACATTTTTCAATTTTCTAGAACCAAGTGCTTTATTTCAAGCTCTTTTTGCAAACTGTTGGTTACTAGCAAGTAAATTGTTATTTAAAAAGGGTTTTATAGGCATATAGTAATAAAGGATTATCTGGCCATCAAAATAACAGAAGGAAAACACCAACATATGGTAATAGTTTTGTCCTACCAACGAGTTTACAAGAGCCTTTCACAATATATATGAGCTTAAACTATAAACATGCTTTAACTTTAAACAAATTAAAATCAGGCAGTATCTTATTAGTTTAAAATGAGTTCTCTTAGAAAAATGGTGTCTGTGAAAAATAATAACCACATGATTTTTAGATGGCTTAGTTTTATTTCACAAATACCATAAGATGGTGTTCCAAAGACTGATGTTTTAATTACATTGATGTTTTCATTACATTGATGTTTTAATTACATTGACAAAACAAAGATGTGTCAGGCTGAGATATCTGAAGAAATTCAATATCATCATATTTATTTCAACATTCAACTCTAAAAATATATATACAAATGCATTCATGCAATATAAACTAACTTTATTACAAAATTTTACAACCATATTATATGCTATTCACTGTACGAAAATAGAAACATAACTAAGAAAAGGCATGTTATTATTAAAACTGCAGAAAAATATAATAAAATTGTACTAAAACTATTGTTTCATCATGGAATATAACTACAAATTAGTAAAATGTTAAAAGCAAGCTGTTCCCTGAACACAATATAAAACCATGATAACAAAAATCACTTAATTAAATGAAGTGTTGTAAGTAAACTTTTGAAAAAAGTTCTTAGACTGGTTTATAAAGGTAAAATAATTTAAATAACCATATCTTTGAAATAACTTACATCTTACTTATTCAAATGTTTGCACACAATACATTTGATTTTAAGTGTATTTTGTATTTTTTTAAAATACAATTTGATTTTCTTTCTATGAATCTTGATAAACAGTTGCAAAGTTTATTTAAATCCTTTGCTTACTAGGATTTTCATGTGTAAAAATCTCCCAGTAGTTTTGAACAAAATTTAAAACAAAAATAGAATTAAATAAATATTCAATGAAGTAAAGAATTAAATGTTACCATTTGAGGAGTTAAATTTCATTTAAATTTAAGATAAGATTTTTAAAACTTTGATTCAATTTTGTCTCTTGACATACAAACCTGCTGAAAGCTAACTCTCAGACAGGAAAAATGCAGTTATATGTAACCATGCAAAAGAAGATAACAAGTGATATCACAACCTAACACTCTCTGTAATCACATCAGGCACCTGCTTAGGCTTCCGTTTCACAGAAAGCCGCCTGAGTACATTGCCTCGTCTGATCTCGTTTACAAGATTGTCCACAATTTTAGCATCACCAGTTCCAGAAAGACCAGGCAGGAGTCTAGCACCTGGTGGAAGTGGAACTGGTTCCTTGTGTGCACCTGTGATAAAAAAAAACATTAAAGTTTACAATCACTTTAAGTTATCTTATAATATACAGCTCACCAAATAAACTTGAATACAAAAGCACACATTTTTAACACAGAATAATTTTTTAAATATTTATAATGTAAAATAAATGTTAGAAGCATATATTATATATTTCTTAAAAGCTTTATTGTAATTTTCCTTTATTTCTGTACCTAATAATTTAATTGATAACCTACCATTCAGCCAGAAATTTAAAAAAAAATTAAAATTATTTTTAAATTACAAATGCCAATATTTTTTATTTACCTACCAAAACAAACTGTAATAATATATTTAAATAAATAGAAATTTAGTACATACTCTTTCTCTTTTCTAACAATTCTTCATGAGCTTTCTTCCTCATCTCTGCTTTTTCTGCCTGTTGTTTCCATGATTCCAATTCCTGAAGAGAAAATATTGAAAATTTGGAGTAAATTATATTTGCTCATTTGTTTTTAAAAAGCAGTAATATAATTTATATTAGGTCTCAGTAGTATTTGTGCTCCATAAAATTTAATTATCTTTAAAGTTATTGATATTGACCAATGCCACCTTACCATCTGACAAGCTTTTACTCTTTCACAAAATTCACGGAATGCACCAAGGAATTCTTCGAGATTAAAAGAGTTTTCGTTCTCACAGTAATGCTGGGCCAGTTTGACGCTCTGTTTAGTCAAGCGATCAAGTGTTTCTTCAATGTCAGACAGGTCTCCGTCAGCTTCCTGCACAAGAGCGTTAAAGACAATTGTTAATAATGCATTTTAAGAAAAATATTTTTGATTTTAATTTAAATTTTTTTAAACATCTACTTTTACTAAACGAAAATGTGACATTTCAATTATTATTATTTTCAGTATCCTTATTGACAATTTATTCAAAATTATAGTTTTCTCTAATTCAAACATTCTGAAGTTACAAAACTGGTTAATTTGTTAATGTTATGATTTTGGATAGTATTTTACTACTGTTTGTTAATAAAAACAACAACTATTAAATTCAACATTGTTGCTTGAAAATGAAATTTTTCCTAAAAATTATATGTAAATAAAAAGTAAATTTTAACTTCTTTTAACTAATAGATCTTTCACTCAAATTATCAATGCATTACACATAAAAGCCATAAAACAAAAAGCAACCTCTAAAAACTCTCCAAACTGCTCCTTGATTTCTTCATCAGGGTTTGCAACCATCTGCACCTGGAGTTTCTTGACAGTGGCTTTGATCTGATTGAATTCTGATTTTACATTCTCTATTGAAAATCTGGGGAGAAAAAACACCGGTTATGACATTTTTTGAAATTGTGTAGTCAATATAAAATACAGATATTGAAATATTAAAAGATCAATTATTGGAATATGTTTTTGAAAATCATGTTAGTGGAACATAAGGTTTAAAAATCTATTTAGCTCATTAAATTTAAAATTTACCTGGAAGCTTTCTGTAAGTCCTCCAGCAGTTCATCAACAAACTCCAGGGAATCTTTATCTTTACTTTCAGCCTCCTCAACCAGGAAATGCAACAGTGAAAGTTTCGGGTCATTTGATTTTGTCAGGATCAATTTATTGAGAGAGCTTATTCGAAAACCAACAGCATCTCCTGCATTACTACCCTGTTAATAAAAGAAATAAAAATCTTATTTAGAACAGAAGAACTACAACATAGATAAATGTTTAATTATTGTAAGTTGCTCATTTTCTAAAAAAAAAGTTCAATAATTCTACACATAACTAAGCATAAAATAAAAACTTTTGCTAGGATTTTAAAAATATATTTTAAAAGTTTTTTATGATATGAAATGAAAGTGGTAAAAGATTTAAGAAAAAGATGTATTTAGAACAGAAGAACTACCACATAGATAAACTGTTAATCATTGTAAATTGCTCATTTTCTAAAAAAAAAAATTCAATAATGTTTTACATAACTAAACATAATATTAAAATGTTTGCTAGGATTTTTAATAAATGTATTTTTAAACAAAAAAATAAATGCTATGAAATTAAAGTGGAAAAAGTTTTAAGAAATTTTCAGTACACACCTTGTTTATAAAATTACCAGCATGTAAGACAAGTCTTAAAAACTTCTTTAGTGCCTTGTTGTCATAGAGACGTCTGGAGATCCCATTGAGGAGAAGCAGGTTTGATCTGACACCAGACAGCTGGCTTTGAAAATCAGACTATTCAAATAAGAGAAACAACGTATTTAATTTTTTAGAACTTTTAAATTTAACACTTTGATATTGCAAGCATTTATTTTATATAAAACTTTAACAACAATGATAACATTTAGCAGAACAAAATATTCATTTGTTTAATCAATTTTTTCTAATGTGCTTACATTTTTTAACTCTCAATATAATTGTTCTTCTTTCTTAAGCATTATATTAATTATAAAAAAAAAATATTAGTCTTGCAAATTTACCAGGCACTTTTTTTCTAAATAGATTTTTATTTTTTAACTTAATATAAAATACACACCTTAAGAAGCATAAGTTCAAGTCTTAGTTTATAACAAGGAACAGACATAAGCTGGAGGAAAAACTTCTCAGCATTTCCCAACTTTTCTGTGTCCCCATCAAAATTCTGAATAAATTCAATCTGAAGACATAAAATTTTGTATCACAATCAGGATCTATTATGTTTTAATTATGAATTATTTCTTTCAGCTAAATTGTAGAACTATTAAATTCATTTGGTATTGTACAGAAAGCTTAGCAAAACAAAAAATTCCTCACCTCATCCAGCTGTGGCAGTATTTTTATAAGGCCTTTCAACTTCTCTACACCGATGCTACGAGCTTCACCTTTCCGAATAAGATCAACTATGGCCGCATTGTTTTTACGGAACTGTTTGAGGTAAATGTTAACGTTCATACTTCTTTTAGGATCCAGCAAACTGATCTGTAATTTTAAAAAAAAATGATAAAGTATAATCATACTAAATTTTTCAAAAAAAATTTTTTTTTAGAAGAAGAAAAGGGGTTATTTTGTTGAAAATAATATTAATATCTTAAATATGATGTCTTAATCTTTAAGCTTCAAAACTCTATTTTCAAAAAAAAAAACATTTGCCTATTGTTAAAGTTAATGTCTGTTTCAATTTTCTGTTTAGAGCATTAAATTCATTTTTGGATAAATTAAAAGTAAGTAAAACATAAATCCATGTCCAAAGATTTGTTTCATGCTAAGGTACCTTCACCACAACAGTGCCATGTTTTATGTTCAGGTCTACAATTTTAGATTACTTAAATATGTAAAGACCAATTACCATAGAAGAGAGAAATATGAACTTTTGCACTAAAAATTAAATAACATTTTTAATATTAATACGAGATTATTTTAGGTAGATCAAGCCTATGTCAATCCAAAGCAATGAATTAGACATTTTTACCATTACTTAGACAGTGTAAAATGTTTAGAAAGTGTAAGAGCTTTTTATTCTGTTTTTATTTTTTTTACTTTTGATACCATTTATCAAGAAATCTTTTTTAAAAAAAAGTTTTTTTTTTCTCAAATTGATATAGATTAAATATGAAAATAACCAATAGATAATACCAACTTAATTACAGAAATAAAATTATTGTAAAAATAAACTCACAAAGCACACAATGTTAACTAGCAATCTAAGTATACATATATTCACTGGCAAATGTAAGATCAATATAATTTTATGTTTAAGTTTTGTTATTCTGGTCAAATGTAAATGGTGAACAAATTTCTCAGCTCACTTATTAAAAAAGCATCAGTGTAGTAGACAAAAAAAAATTCAAATTCAGTCTCAAGCAACTTTTGGGTAAATATTATGCTTGCCATGTAGTTGGTATATGTGCAATATAAACACATAGTTTTTACCTGACGAAGTTTGTTTCCTTGCATATCAGACTTAAACCATGGAAAATAAAATTAGTTATTTTTAATGTATTTTTAAAATGTACCCTAACCTATGGATGCATTAACTATCATCCTGAATAAAGGTTTGTAGATCTATTTTGTTAAGGAAAAGCTAAATTATATATATATATATATATATATATATATATATATATATATATATATATATATATATATATATGTATATATATATATATGATAATTGAAGAAGATTGTATGTTCATTGTCTGGCTGGAAAACAAAAGCTTTACTTTATTGTCACCTAACAGTAAAAGTATTTATTATTATAATTTATAAACTTCAACTTTAAAATTTTAAAAATTTATTTATATAATTTCTCTTAATTTCAGTTTTAAAAAGTGGAGAATGATATATTTTCATGAAATATAGATTCTATAGATTAGACTATTACTATTAATCTAGAGATAGATATATTATATATATAGCCTTAATTTTTTTATCTTACTTTAACACAGTACTATTTCTATATAGTATATATATATTATCCTAATTGCATCAAATGCATAGAACAAACATTTGGCTTTTTTGGGACTAAAGTTCTGTTTTAAAATTACTAAACTTAAACTTTAAAACTACTAGATCTATCAATAATCATTTATCAATGATTAAGCTTTATATCAGTATAATCATTTTATTACCTCAGAAGGGGAAGAGTGCACCCTCAACACTTTCTCTTCCACCTTGGGCTCTTCCTTCACAGTTTTGGCAGAAAAAAGAGATTCCAGTTTAGTATATTCTACTGGAATCGCATCTGCCATTTTACTAACATCCCCCCAGATGCAATTCTCTACAAAAGAAAAAACAAATAAACAAATTTTAATGATTGGTTAGCAGATAATTTAATTGTATAGTTTCAAGTAAAATAATATTAAAAATTATTATTATTATTAATAAATAAATATGAAATGACAGGTTTATGATTGGGATGCATAAATTAAGTTGTGATTACGTTTATGTGAGATGAAATGACAGTCCTTTATATTTTAAAATCATTGTGAAAAAATATTTAACCATCATAATTGATTAGGCCTTTTGAGACATAATTAAACCATCTTATAGAGCTATTTGGCTTTTAGTAACATAAACGACAACTCAGTCTCTTGTACATAATAACAGAGTGATCTCCCTTGCAAAGATTCTTGCATGTACATAGACTAACTTCCACATATATCATCAATGATGTATTCATTAAAATATTATTCAAAGAACTCCACTTACAATAACAATGATTAGCTGTGTCATTTAACCTTGGTTCAATGAAAACGTTTCCATTTAAAACCAGAGAATTAGTGTACGAAGGATTTTAATTTTAATTATCTGCACATTTTATCTAATTAAAAAGTAACTACTATTTTAAAAAGTCCACATAGAACTACAGATGAAAAGTAATGTCTTACTGTTGACTTGTAGTGTAGGGACCTTGTTCCACGTGAAATGTTTCATTTTACAGCTGGGGTCTGGAGTTTTAATTGTTTCAACAGAAGGGGTCGGGGAAGGTGGAGGAGGGCACAGGCCAGGTATCCCCCCAGGGGGAAGGAGCCCCGGTGGGGGTGGGGGAGCACCTAGCAGAGGAGCACCGGGAGGGGGTGGGGGCACGGGCGAGAATGGTCCGCCTGGTGGGGGTGGGGGAGGGGCTGAAAACGGTGCGCCCGGAGGGGGTGGGGGAGGGGCTGAAAAGAGCGGTGGGGGCGGGGGAGGGCCTGAGAAAGGCATACCGGGTGGGGGTGGAGGGGGCGGGGGACAAGGCGCTGCTGGGGGTGGCAGAGGTGGAAGAGAGGAAGGATCGCTGTTGTCTGCAGATTCCCGCCGCCCGAGGATTGCTGACTTCCGCTGTAGTCTCGAGGGAAGAGTTCCACTGGATGGTAAACTTTCCTGTGGAGGTTTGAAGGTTAAACATTACAATCAAACATTCATTTAGTTGAGACGTGACCTGGAAGAAGACACCAAGAAGATTGGATACACCTGGGGACAGTTGGAGAGACTAGCCCTGGACAGAGACGTCTGGAAAGCTCTTGTCAGCGGCCTATGTCCCAGTAGGGACGACGGGCAAACGTAACGTAACGTAACTCATTTAGTTATTTTCAAAACGGATGGAGTGGTTGGAAAGTACAGCCCACGACTGCTAACCCGAAAGTTTCGAGTTCGGATGCCGAGCTTGAGATTATATGATGTCTATGATGTCCATGAGTCCCCCCCCCCCCCCCAAGCTCTGATGGGTACCTTACTTACGTTAGGAAAAGTAAAGACGACTGGGCATAGTGCTGATCATACTGTCCCTTTATATTCTGATGGTGATTCGTGTGTGTATTGGGGGGGGGGGGAGGGAGATGTGACACCCTCAATTACAGCATCAGGTGAGACTCGACCTAGTGAAGCCACTGCATATAGATAAGGTGTTTTAATCAAGGCGGGGTGGGGGATGCGGACCGTACCGGGTGACACCTTTGGAGGAGGGTGACACCAAGACAAAAAAATATATATAGAAATATATAGAATAAATAAGCTTTTTGCCAGTTCAATGAATGGTTAATTAGCGGTAAAAATATTTTAAGTACAAACTGACGATCCAGACAACGAATATATATATAGCCCATATATAGCCTATATTTTTTTCCTTTATTGTTGGGGGAGGGGGCGGGTGACACCATAATGTACGGCACCGGGTGACACCCGACCTAGCGACGCCACTGGCACTACCTACCATTGTCTGCACAGCGACATCAACAAGCTTGTGTTGACCTTTAGCATCCTCCATCAGTTTATCTGCCTTGACCACCCCCTCCACGGCCTGCTGGGCTAGTTTCTCGATTAAAATCCATGTACTTTCACTGCAGAGAGAAAAAATAAATAAATGGAACTACCGGTAATTAGTACAGCCTCAACAGCAGACTAATAGTAATACGTATTATGTCGAGAATGTTTTTTTTTTACGCCTGATGGTTTCTGAAATGTAGTTTTTTTGTGTGAATGCTTTGGTTTCGTCCATGGTCGTATGCGATGATGATCTATGTGATGATGGTTGTATGTGATGATTGTCGTATGTGATGATTGTCGTATGTGATGATGTTCGTATGTGATGATGTTCGTATGTGGTGATGGTCGTATGTGATGATGTTTTTATGTGATGATGTTTGTATGTGATGATGTTTGTATGTGATGATGTTTGTATGTGGTGATGGTCGTACGTGGTGATGGTCGTATGTGGTGATGGTCGTGTGTGGTGATAATTTTATGTGATGATGTTTGTATGTTATGATGTTTATATGTGATGATGTTTGTATGTAATGATGTTTTTATGTGATGATGTTTGTATGTGATGAAGTTTATATGTGATGTTTGTATGTGACGACGTTTGTATGTTATGTTTTTATGTGATGATGTTTATATGTGATGATGTTTATATGTGATGGTCGTTTTTGATGATGGTCGTACGTGATGATGTTTATATGTGATGTTTGTATGTGATGATGTTTGTATGTGATGATGTTTATATGTGATGATGTTTGTATGTGATGATGTTTATATGTGATGGTCGTTTTTGATGATGGTCGTACGTGATGATGTTTATATGTGATGTTTGTATGTGATGATGTTTGTATGTGATGATGTTTATATGTGATGATGTTTGTATGTGATGATGTTTATATGTGATGTTTGTATGTGATGATGTTTTTATGTGATGATGTTTGTATGTGACGATGTTTGTATGTTATGTTTTTATGTGATGATGTTTGTATGTGATGATGTTTTTATGTGATGATGTTTGTATGTGATGATGTTTGTATGTTATGATGTTTATATGTGATGATGTTTGTGTGTGATGATGTTTGTATGTTATGATTTTTTATGTGATGTTTGTATGTGATGATGTTTATATGTGATGATGTTTTTATGTGATGTTTTTATGTGATGATGTTTGTATGTGATGATGTTTATATGTGAAGGTCGTTTTTGATGATGGTCGTACGTGATGATGGTTGTATGCGATGCGGATGAGAAAGGATTATAATTATGATGTAATATCTATACTATTTCCGTTTATTAGAAAAGTAATATTAAAAAAACCGTTAATATCCGTTAAAGTATGGTTGGGATGTGGGGTAAAACTGTGTCGGGAATTCGGTAGAGGTGTGTTTTGTGTTTTGATGTTTCATGCACTAAAACTGAGTATAAGTCGGAGGAAGAACCTAATAAAATGGTAATAAATCATTGATGGAGGGACACCAAGGTTTGAACGGGCAGTTTGTTCGAAAATTGTTATTATGTTTCTAGGGCAGTGTTTCTTCCTGACTTTTTTCTCGGGGGGGGGGGGGGGGGGGGCGGGGACTAAAATTTCCTTCCTCAGGGACAGACACTGTTAAAAGTATATAGTTTCTATATAAATTCCATTTCGTTCGAGGAAGGGGGGGGGGATGGTTGGCTTACTTCGCCCCCCCCCAGATGCCTGGAAGAAACTCTGTTCTAGGGTCAGTTTGATTTTACGCAAACCGCCGCACCTATCTGGCTACCAAGACTCGGACATCCCTGATGTGCTACAATTGCCGTGTAGCAATGAGTGACATTTATCACATTATCACTATCTTTTTTCCCGTTCTTGACCAAGACACTTAGGGCAGATGAAGTAGAGTTCATCTGCTTCCGAGACCTCGGTATATGAAGTGGTCAGCACTCTACTTCATATGTCCAAGGGATCGTAAGATCTAAAGAGGATTCTATACTTTTTTTTGTTTTGCACATCAGAAATGGGTTTATGTAGACTGAAGCTAAAATCTAAAACTCTATTTAAAAAAACAATTGTTCTAAAAATTAGAGTGCCACTTACCAGTGTGGGCTGTTGGGGTCAATCTGGTACAGGCTGTAGAGGATGGACAGCAAGGACAGCCCTAAGGTTGTGTCATTCACCTGAAAATATTTGTTAGGGTCATATTTAGTCATCACACCTTAGCTGTTTTAGAATATCATGACATTTTATATTAAATACAAACACAATGAGGCTATACATAAAATAACAACAAGAGATCTCTGAATATTTTTGTGTTTCTATGTCGAGGCAAAATGAATGTATTCGTGGTATTGTTGGACAAAATGATGACATAGTAAATGTTTGGTTGGTGGAACGCGGGGAAGCGGTGTTTCCCAATCGGTAACATTTTTCTTTATACGAAGGGGAGGTAAAATGGAGTCTTTACATAAATTTATGGGCTGCAGCTAGGCTGCAGACCCGAAAGTCTCGAGTTCGAATCCGGGCTCAAGTCAGTGGAACGTCCCTGAGTCCACTCAGCTCTAAAGGGTACCTAACTCACGTTAGGGAAAGTAAAAGCAAAGCGCTGACCACACTATCCCTGCATTTGTCGAGTTTAAGAAACATGAACTCTACTTCATCTGCCAAAAGTATCTCTATGCGTAGAGGAATTTTTCCTTTTTTTTTTGTGTACATTACTTTGATTTAATTTAAATCATCGCTTTCTTACCACAGCATGCTCAAATATAGAGTATAGACCACACCGCACCAGTAAAGTACCATCCACCCCACTTTGAATAAAAATACAATGTGTGTTCCCGTTATTTTTTTGTAATTTTTTTTTCATGCTCTGCGCACACAATTCCAAACGCACACAGAAACTCCACCTACTTTGTTGTAGATGGCTTTAAACAGATCCGAGTGGCTGTTGATGTCAATGGCCTCCTTGGTGGACTCTACCATGGCGTCTGTGTCCGCCGTGAGCTCTTCCTCGAAGACGTCCAGCTGGACCTGAAGGTCGCCATCTTTGTCGTCACGTAAACAGTTGATGACGTCAAGGATGTTCAAAGCTGCCCGACAGAAACTGACGTGAAATGGGGAATAAATGGGGGAATAAATGGGGAATTGTGGGGAAGAATTTACCGTCGGGGGTGGGGAAGTTGGGTTGTGATTTTGACGTGAGAGTTTGGTTAGAGAAGCGATACGGTTTGGGAATGCTAAGGAATTGAGATGGTTTGTATGTAAAACAGAAGTAGTTTAAAGTAAAATTGTGTAAGAATCTGTGATAGAAATGAAGAAGTTGAGCTGTGTATGTGACGCGTCAAAGTGAACGTGTGATTAAAATGTATAGTGAGTCTATGTCTCTCTTCTTCCCTACAACACAATGTATACGTGTCAACTAATTATGCGCTATATATATATATATATATATATATATATATATATATATATATATATATATGCGTTTTATGAAACGTTAGCCTTTAAAGTTTAAAATTAGGATGTTTCGTGCGAGAAATAATGTTATTCACTCACTAACCCTAACTTATAGGCTACATTCTCATTTAAAATAGCTGAATATCTCCGCGAAATAAAACCAAAAGCAAAACAACACATAACAAATAATATATTACTACTTCTAATAAATCTACTTACAAATCCAAATCTTTGATGTAGTCGATTACAACACACCGCTAGACTAAGAGTAAACTAAAACCTAACTCAAGCATTACGGATCATTACTATGTCAACTACGAAACGATTTTTTTTGTTCTTGTCTATAGTGAACTCATTGTTCCTAATCTTTCGCGGGATAATTTTTAAATCAACCCAACTACTTTAGATCTAAACTATAGTACCTATATCTAGATCTAAATCTAGATCAAAATGTTAAAAAAGAAGGCTGCAGATCTAGTTTTCTAGATCTAGATTCTAGATCTAGATCTAGATCTATGTCCTACCTTTTACAATTCGAACAAGATTTTGCCATACGAATCTTGTAGCTATGTTGTAGCTGATGTAGAAGCCGAGGATAAAATTGCGAAATGTTTTCCAGTCCTTGTTCTCCATACCATAGTTATAATGTCACAATTGTTTAATGTTTCTTTATTTGCTCACTTTCCTAAAGAATTGTTTCTGTCCCACCCTTACAAACGTCATTTATTTTCGAGCACCGGAAGTGGGAATTTTATAAAAGAAATGGCGTCGAGATTATACCAGCGATTAGAAAAGTGACGTCTAGGATCAAGTATGTGGGCGATGAGGCTGTCTAGAGCCAAGTGAACCGAACTTAAGACTTCCAGGATAGCAAGCGTGCGTTCTATCGCTAGACCAAGCTATTCTCTATTATGTAATTTACTATGGTCCGTATAGCCGTGGTTGAAATTCGATTAAAAAAAATAGTATTGTTTCTTCTTATTATTAAGCATTTAACATTCTAATTGAAAATAATCAAGGTAATTGCGTTAGGTCAGTCCTAGCCTATATCACCCTTGACCTATTATCCCTATGACAAAAATTGTTTGTAGTGTGTGTGTAGGTCTATTAATAGAAGAATTAAATGTAGCATATAGCAAAAGGGTAGGTAAGGGGACAATTTGTCTCAAGTGGGAAATAGACGTGGGGGGGGGGGGCTTGATTACAAGGAATGTGAATCAAAATTTAAGGGAACATAGCGTGATTAAAAAAAAAGACACAAAAAACACATAATTATGCTAATGATGTTAGTTAATTGTTATTTCTTTTTAATATTAGGCTCAACGCAATAACCAGTGTTTCTTTTAGGCAACTCTCCTGGGGAGGGGGGGGGGGGTAGAGCACATCCACCACTTGCCCCACCCGAATGAAATTTAAAAAAAATAATATAGATATACATTTACAATAATCCCACCCCTTACCCCACCAGAAAATTTTAAAGTTCCTGAAGTTTCAAGTGTCGTCTCCTCCCCCCCCCCCCCCCCCTCCGGAAGTTTAAAAAAAAAAGCCTTCCCGTAGAAAAATGTCTAAACAATGTCTGAAAGAAACACTGGTTGTATTAAAAATGTGTATGTCATCGAGTCATAGCAAACACGAGACATACTGCCATAGCAAACACGAGACATACTGCCATAACCTATGAACCCAATCACCCGGAAGACGCGACCTACTGACCTACAAACTCGTTCCGGATACGGATCCTGTCCCGGATGTTCTCGCTGGCCACGATGATGGAGTTGACCAGCGCCATGACGGTCGTCTTGTAGGTGGTGAGGTCAGAGTTCCTCAGGTCTGTAATCAGCAGACTGAATCGGTACCGCTGTTTCCTCCATACCTAGGGACACGGTAGCATGGGTTAACGAAGAAAACAATAGTATACAGTTGTTGAAAAGTAGCATAATTTATTAGTGAGTAAATGGTAAAATTAGTAGTGTGCTTGACTGTTAGCTTAACACGTGAGGATCGAATCCAACTTGTATACAATCAGTCTACGTAGGTGTTACAGTTAGCTAGTTTAAATCGTGAGAAAAAAACCTAGTAGTGTGATTGAAATTTGGTTGCATTATGTAAGAGGTATATTGTATACAGATTTAAAACTTGCTTTATTTTAATCGTAAATGGTAAAGTTAGCAGTGTGATTGACAGTTAGCTTGACAGTGTTAAGATCGAATCTAACTTGGGTTAACTGAGAAGCATCTCGGTATTCAAACTGGCCTTTATGAAATCATTAGTTTGACAGCTAGCAATAATGGATACATAAAGTCTTATGTCCCCAACGCCAGCCTTACACAAAGTGTCTCTCTACCACTCAGTGTACAAGGAGAACTAGATGTTAGTTCTATTAACCTTAACTTTGAATTCAGGAACACTGTATTAGTAATCACTGATCACTGATCACAACATGTAATCAGTCACAGGCCAGGAATAATGAAGCGAGTTAGAGATTAACCTTATGCTTAGTCGCCTTTACTCTTATAGGCTAATCCGTTTCTGTTGAGAGTGACATCCTAGGAACCGAATTCCAGACTTTCAGGCTAGCTATTGTGTGTCAGATTAACCCTTCACATTCCAATCTTTAAAGCAATATTCTTTCTTATTAAAACAAACAAAAAAAACCCTTTTAAATCCTAAATTATGCATGTATTAAAACAAACACGAACTACACATTAAGTGACAAATGAAATTACATGGCGCTTATCAAGCCTATATCTACACTTGTGATTATCAACACAACTCTACTTCATCTTACCGAATCAAACATCAACTCGGGCTCCAGAAGAATCATGGAATACTCAGCTATCCAAATCCACGCGCCAACTTAACCGCTCACCAAATGCACATGCCCTAACCATTCAACCCTTTATATAGATACTTAGGATCGTCCATTCATTGATACAACTTTTTTCCCACCTACAAATTTAGAAACGTAGCCACTCCCCCTTTTTTACTTTCATTCATCTTTCTAGTTATGAAACAAGCAGTTTTCGTCGCATTACGTTGTAGTTGACCCAGTACAACCGTGGGAAGATTCACTAGATGCATCTGATCTAAAATACCATAAATGTAATGTGACTATAGATCACTGTATGACTGTCGTAGTCCAGCTGCTCTGACCCTGAGTATAGGAGCTCTCGAGTTTAAGAAGGGAGAAATACTTGACATCTATTTTCGTCACAGTGGGCGCTATTCAGAAAAAGGTGTGATATTTAATTGCACGCGTGAGGGGATTTATTGTGGGTTAAAAAAAATCTTCCCACGATTTCTGGTAATGCACTTTGTCATTTAATTTAGCTCTGTTAAGTCCAAGATCAAAACGAGGGCAAAAAAAAAAAACAAAAAAAAAAACAAGACCAATAAAAACAAAACAAGACCAATAAAAACAAAACAAGACCAATAAAAACAAAACAAGACAAATAAAAACAAAACAAGCCCAATAAAAACAAAACAAGACCAATAAAAATAAAACAAGACTACAAAAAAGCTAAATTCAAAACGAGGCTTAAACCAAAATGATGCTGTTTCTCGGAATAGGGACTAATCAGGTTTGGCCCCAGAGTTGCTTCCAGTCATCCTTTTCGGGGTGGGGGGGGGGCGAATAACGGCTACCGCTATAGAAAATATATTTTTACAATTTAGTCCGCCCCCCCCCCCCCCCCGAAAATTTCAAGTGACCCCCCATATCCAACCGGAGTCTGAAAGAATTACTTTTTGGCCCTGAACCCATCGTGTGCTTATGTTATAGTCAAGTCATAGTGCAATGTTTTACATTACTTTAATTGTCTTTATTAGTTTCGTTAAATTTCTACTATTTTTTGTTTTTCTGTTTTCAAATTAAACATACGGCTCTTCTTTCTAATGAGAGTGTTGATTGTTACCTTCAAGAGTTGGGATCTCACTTGATAACAATATCATTAAGAGCTAGATAATCACATTTTAATCACCATAAATGAGGAACGAAGTACTCAATAGTTGTGTCACTATTAGAAACAGAGTACACACTTTTTGTGTCACCACCAGAAACTAAGTACTCACCTTGTGTTACCACAAGAACCCTCGAGTAGTCCTACACGCTTTTTGTGTCACCACTATAAGCCGAGTACCCACTTTGTGTCACCACCAGAAACCAATTACTCACCTGTGTCACCACCAGAAGCCGAGTAGGCCTACCCACTTTTCGTGTCACCACTATAAGCCGAGTACCCACTTTGTGTCACCACCAGAAACCAATTACCTGTGTCACCACAAGAAGCCGAGTACTCACATAGTTGTGTCACCACAAGAACCAGGTAATCACTTTTTTGTAACCACCAGAGTACTCACTTTGTGTCACTACCTGAAGCCAAACGCTCACCTTGTGTCACCACCAGGGTACTCACCTTGTGTCACCACCAGAGTACTCACCCTGTGTCACCACCAGGGTACTCACCTTATAACGTTCTAACGCATCTAGCGTGAGGTAGAAGCCATCTGTTGAGTACAGGCAGAGGGCGGAGAGCAGCTCAAAGATCTGCATCTTGACCATCACGTTGTTGGTTTCCATGGCTGGGGAGGAGGAATTATGGGTAGGCTTTTAATTTTGGCTGGGGAGGAATTATGGGTAGGCTTTTAATTTTGGCTGGGGAGGAATTATGGGTAGGCTTTTAATTTTGGCTGGGGAGGAGGAATTATGGGTAGGCTTTTAATTTTGGCTGGGGAGGAATTATGGGTAGGCTTTTAATTATGGCTGGAGAGGAGGAATTATGGGTAGGCTTTTAATTTTGGCTGGGGAGGAATTATGGGTAGGCTTTTAATTTTGGCTGGAGAGGAGGAATTATGGGTAGGCTTTTAATTTTGGCTGGGGAGGAATTATGGGTAGGCTTTTAATTTTGGCTGGGGAGGAGGAATTATGGGTAGGCTTTTAATTTTGGCTGGGGAGGAATTATGGGTAGGCTTTTAATTTTGGCTGGGGAGGAATTATGGGTAGGCTTTTAATTTTGGCTGGGGAGGAGGAATTATGGGTAGGCTTTTAATTTTGGCTGGGGAGGAATTTTGGGTATGCTTTTAATTTTGGCTGGGGAGGAATTATGGGTAGGCTTTTAATTTTGGCTGGGGAGGAGGAATTATGGGTAGGCTTTTAATTTTGGCTGGGGAGGAATTTTGGGTATGCTTTTAATTTTGGCTGGGGAGGAATTATGGGTAGGCTTTTAATTTTGGCTGGGGAGGAGGAATTATGGGTAGGCTTTTAATTTTGGCTGGGGAGGAATTATGGGTAGGCTTTTAATTTTGGCTGGGGAGGAATTATGGGTAGGCTTTTAATTTTGGCTGGGGAGGAATTATGGGTAGGCTTTTAATTTTGGCTGGGGAGGAATTATGGGTAGGCTTTTAATTTTGGCTGGGGAGGATGAATTATGGGTAGGCTTTTAATTTTGGCTGGGGAGGAATTATGGGTAGGCTTTTAATTTTGGCTGGGGAGGAGGAATTATGGGTAGGCTTTTAACTTTGGCTGGGGAGGAATTATGGGTAGGCTTTTAATTTTGGCTGGGGAGGATGAATTATGGGTAGGCTTTTAATTTTGGCTGGGGAGGAATTATGGGTAGGCTTTTAATTTTGGCTGGGGAGGAATTATGGGTAGGCTTTTAATTTTGGCTGGGGAGGAATTATGGGTAGGCTTTTAATTTTGGCTGGGGAGGAATTATGGGTAGGCTTTTAATTTTGGCTGGAGAGGAATTATGGGTAGGCTTTTAATTTTGGCTGGGGAGGAATTATGGGTAGGCTTTTAATTTTGGCTGGGGAGGAATTATGGGTAGGCTTTTAATTTTGGCTGGGGAGGAATTATGGGTAGGCTTTTAATTTTGGCTGGGGTGGAGGAATTATGGGTAGGCTTTTAATTTTGGCTGGGGAGGAATTATGGGTAGGCTTTTAATTTTGGCTGGGGAGGAATTATGGGTAGGCTTTTAATTTTGGCTGGGGAGGAATTATGGGTAGGCTTTTAATTTTGGCTGGGGAGGAAGAATTATGGGTAGGCTTTTAATTTTGGCTGGGGTCACACCACAATAATGTCCCAATAAATCAATGTGTAAGTCATGGATTTAGAATAAAACATCGAGGGCTTTCAATATTTCGAGTGAGTTGAATGGTGGCCTCTCTCAAAGATAAATACAGAAGATTGATTATCTACTAATTAATGTTAATGAAAAATAGGATGTTAAAGTAAAGGGGGAGGTGTCTGTAAAAGATGGCTAGCAAATTATGTCGACCTTGATCTGTCTCACGTTATAAGGGTCATCCATGAATGACCTCACGCTTTTTTGGAAGATTTTTACCTCCCTCTCACATGGTAAAAAAAAAGCCAGATCCACCCTTTAAATGACATCACACCTCAACAAACAACCCACACCCCTCAAATTGCATTTGTATTTTTTTTTTTTAAAAGTCGATTTTTTTTTCTACAATATTGACTAAGCTCGACTACACTTGAGTATTTTAATCAATTCCTATTACAATATATTAAAACTGTTTTCTAAAACTCAAAATGACGGCTAAAATTTAGTTTCTAACATTACTTTTTAAAAATGCGAAAGTTTAACGTCACACTATCTGATCCCCCCGCCCTCCCATCATCACACATCGTCACAAAATTACGGACCCTCTCCCCCCCCCTTCACCCATACGACCACGAATTTGCATAAAAGCTAAATTATATAATTCGTTTCAAAAAAGATTTTAATTTTTTTTAAACTACTACCCCCCCCCCCCCCACCTCTCCTCTTATTCACTCAACCACGTCATTTCTGTTATAAGTCTGAACGCCTACACGACACAATGTCCGTGACGTCACTTACGGACGTCACTGTAAATATAGATCTATTCGGTGAAAATGTTTTTAATCGGATGCCAGCTTTGAAGTTTATCGACTAACAGTACTCAGCTAGAAGTGGGCGAGATGAATATGACGTCATAACTCATAACTGAGCTACAACGCCGAGGTAAACACTCCAGTTGACGTCACACGACGCACACGAAACACACCCGGATGCAGGAACTTCAACAGAAGTAGTTTTTTTTAAAACACTTGTGAGTACCGATGGTTAGCCGTACCGCATAAAGCCCTGTTGCTTAGGTTCTGTGGAATAATTATTAAGCATAGCTCTGGCCTAACCGTTATCTAATTGCGGCTCAAGGACTAGCCGTCATCAAATTGTGGCTCCTGGGCCAGCGGACATTAAACTACGTCACCGGGTACAACCCGTTATCAAACTGCGGGGCTTGGTGTGGGGGGGGGGGGGGGGGGGTCAGCAAATTGTGGTTCTAGGGCCAACCGTTCGCAAAAAAAAAATCGTATACACATATTTTCCTTCGTTAACTTTACTGATCGTCGAAGACCCCCTACGGTCGACGTACTCGTAACTTTTATTTAATTTCAATTTTGAAAAATCGTACGTCCCTGACTTCCCTGAGTCCACCCAGCTCTGATGGATACCTGAATCACGTTAGGGAAAGTACAAGCGCCTGGGCATGGTGCTGACCACACTATCCCCCTATATAAACTTCGTTTGCCCCACGAACTGGAAATGTTGATGACGGTGCTATGTAACATAATAAACACTGGGCAGAAAAGAAGGGGTGATAACTTTTAGATATAAACTTTGAATAAATGGGAGAGCACACCGCACACAACTCGATACAATATTTACAAGATTATAGCCCTTGGAGCAGCTATTTATTTTTACCGAACGGAGACCTAAGCTGCTAACTATGAGGGAATACAACATATACAATCATGGCAGTTAATTTTGTTATCTAATTTATTAGTTCGTATATTGTAACATTTTAATTTAGAACATCCACTTGCTTTTAATAACATACCTGATTATTCAACAGTAACAAGAGTGACCTCCTTAAAAATATTTCAGCAGACTCAATCATTTGGGTTTGATGATTTTAATCAGGATTAAAATTAATTTGATTTGTTTATATTTTTGAGAGTTAAGGTACACTATCAAATTATAACAGATGAGAAGATTATTTTTAAACACATACAAGATAGATTAAATATAGGCCGCTCATTGAACATCGATCCCTAGCCGTAACACACAATGTCAAGGGAAATAACTTTTAACGTGCTCTTTCAGAAAAAAAAAACAACCTGTCCTTGAAACGCCAGGACCAAAATAAACTTTTTTTCTTGCATAATGTGCCTCTGACATTTCTCACACTAAATCAAACAGCTCAGACAATCGTAAATCTTTTTGTTTTAAAATTGTCCTGTTAATAAAAAAAAGTTGCTGTCTAGGCATGTCAAAGTGTGTGAATAGACAGCACGTTGACAGGTGCAGTGTTTTGCATAAAACGACAAAGCTGGCCGTATTTAGATTTTGGCTACTAAAATATAAGGGGAGATAATACCACGAAAAAAAAAACATATCCTTATATAAAAACAGATCCATATGTTGGCCTATTTATGTATTTTTTTTAATTCACTCAAATTCTACATAACAATGTTTTTTATTTTCATACTTGAACATGGGACACATGGAACCATTTTCATTGCATGAAAGTACTTGTCAGAAAGAAATATTTCTATCGTGCCATTCCTCATAAACTGATGATGAAAACTGTTATAATAAAGCGAATACGGCAAGGCAAACTGACGCTGTAAATCGCTGTCTGAAGCAAAAAAAAAAAGCAACAAAAAAAAAAACCTTTTGGACAGCGTGGCCGAGTTATAGAGCAAACAACTGCTAACCAAGAAGTATAGAGTTCGTTTCACGGATTCCAAGCTGAGATGGGTATCGCACTCAAATTACACAACAACAACTGGACATAGAACTGACCACGTTATACCTCAATATACCGAGGTAGCAGTAACATAAAACACTGGCCGTCATATGCCAAAGAAAGGGTGACTGTTATTTTTGCTTGAGCTGAATTCATTAGCCAATAAAAAAAAACATTGTTTTTATACAAATTTCAAAGCTGAAATTTTATGTGCTTTGGTCTAGAAATAACGGATCACAATTGACGCAGAGGAAAAGGTTGGATAAAGAAAAATGCTATAAAAACGTTTTCCAATGGTACCACTATTTTTTGGTCCACTTAATGTCTGAACATACGCCCAATGTTGTGTTTCGTTGTACGATGCGCACCGCTGTGTGCAGTTTTCTTAGTGAGTGCCGTACAACCTCACGTGCAAATCAGGCAAGGTTTTACTAGATAGGTGGGGGCTGAAAGGTTGAAGGGCGTCTTGATTTCTGAAAATAGATTACGAGACTAAAGTACGGACTTGCCTTTTGATTTGACCAAAAAAGAAGGGGTTTGTGTGTGTGTGTGTGCGTGTGTGTGTGTGTGTGTGCGTGTGTGTGTGTGTGTGAGGGAGGGGGTTTAAAAAAACAACCAAAAGATAATACAGAATACTTTTTAATGGTTCTAGCTTCATAGGTATTTTGGATACAGTAGGCCCTAAGTATATTATTTACCGACATATTAAAACAGCATAAAATATTCAACTAGCTATAATATAAAAGCGTACCTACAAAAAACAATAAAGTTAAGTAGAAGATTAG